TATATGTGTGTGTGTGCAGAAGAAGAAATTTATAATATACAATTTCTTATTTTTAATGAAAAATACAATAGCAAAATATAATAGCGCAATAGCGATAACAAAGATTTTATTTTATATAACAAAGGCAAAAAGAACTTTCGTGAATACTTATTAATTATTAAAAATTATATGTGTGTTTTGTTTACTAAAATAAGCGTTATTTTTATTCTACTTATAGCCGCGTGCGCAAGACAGACCATGGTACCTCCGCCCACTTCCACAGCCATGAATCATCTGTTAGTGGGCAAAAATGCCCTTGTAAGTGGAAAGAATCGACCATTGAGTTTGCCGTCTGCCACTGCCACATCAAAATTACGCCCGACAGCCCTTCATAGTCCAAAAAGTCGAAGAGATAGACAAGGTGTTACGCTTCATTGGAAAGATGCAAAGAGGCCGAAACAAAGAGCCGGCGATGCTGGTGGTAAGTGCAATTAATTGTCAAAAAATGATTCAATAAAAATATTTTTCACATTCAAAAATATTGTGAAAATATTTAAAAATACATTTGTAATAAAAATGATATAAAAAACGTGTAAATTATTTCTTGCAAATGTATAGAAGAAATGTACATGATACAAACATGTATAAATAATGATAAATATTTAAGTAATCATTAAAAATATAATTTTGAAAAATATATTTATACATTTATGAATGATTAATATTACAAGTGCGATAAATTTGTTAATAGCAAAGGGGGAGGCAAATTTTAATTAAATTTGAATAGTTTTTTACATATACTATTTTTATTTAAAAAATTTTATTGACATTTGTAGAAATAAAAGTGAAATCGAATATGTTATAAACGTTAACTAAAAATGATTGATTGCATTGAATGTACGGTATCATATTGACTTACTCATGGCAAGTATACCAGCAGAGAATAAGATAGAACTTCCATCTGCTGATGGTAAGATTCACGGTGTATGATAACACTTATCAATTGTCGAACCTCTATCACTCCAGATCAAGTAGGACGAACCACCTGCTTTACGCTCGATATCAGCAAGTATGAGTATTGACGCAGGTGTGGCAGATAGGGTCAACATCCGGTTCTGTACCGCTTCTAGTCAAGTCGTTCTCTATCGCGCGCGTAAATAATTTCAAGATTAATACATAAGTTATAACAGATACAATATTTTTAAAGCGTTATATTAAATTATTGACCAACAATTTTCACCCGTGATATCAATCGTATTATCTCAGTCTCTCAGATTAATTACGGTTTCAGTACTGTGTAGTTAATTTATTGATATTTTCTATTTTATGTTACAGACGCCGAAGCCGTTGGTGCAGCATTCTTACAGTCACCTCCAGAAACGTCACCCAGTCGAGGTGCCGCTGACAGTGACAGTGACAGCACGTCGACGGAGCTGTGCGACGAACCGGATCGTCTGAGTGACGTCGATAGCGAAGAACTTACGTCAGCATCGGATTCTTACGTCATGGCAACGGACGATGAAAAGCATACTTGCGTCGAGGGTTCATCGACCTCGGCGAGTACACCTGCGCGCTCGTATATGAAAACTGAATCGACGATGACGGTCGAGGGGAAGCAAATGGACACAATTTTCGGAATTGAACGGGACGATAAGTCACCGTCCTTGTCCGAAATTTCGATCGCCAAAATTACCGATCAAATACGAAGACTCTCGGCAGAAGATGACAATAATACGACAGTTCCACAAATATTGAGTGTGCGTAACAACGACGAACTATCGATGGGAGATTATTCCATGCACATAGAGAGATCACAGATAAAAGAAACAGAATCAAAGTTATTGAATCCCATCGATTACACATTAAGTGAAGACACAGCAAGATCGTCGTCGAAAATTAACGTGAACAACTATGACTATTTGAACATGAAATCTAATATTGATGAGGAGAAGACAGATGACATTCTGGTAGGGAGAACGGATCGATTGAAAGATGTAGAAGAAAAACAAGAAGACACTTGGACTAGCAGTAAAGATAGTATAGGCATTAAGACGGATATAATAGAAACTATGAATATTCTACGAGATAATTCCAGGGAACAAACGAGTACGTCGTTAGATCGAAATTATGATAAATTTATCACGCCTTTAGACACGAATGACAAGCCTTTCGAATCCTCTTTAAGATTTTCCAGTAAAATTTATTTGGATTCGAAAAATGATTACGACTCAAACAATACGGATCTTGAGAATAACAGAGCTTTGGATGACGCGACAGAATCACGATCTTTTTATTCTAAGAGATATGTTATAGGCCACCTTCCAATTTCTCCGGTAACAATGGATGACAAACTGACGAAATTATCGCATGAAGTATATAACGTCTCGGTAAACCAGGAAAATCTGACGAGTCCTGAAAGGTCTTCAAAGAGAGAAGTTTTTAGTGAAAAGCAGCCAATGGTACAAATGAAATTATATTCTGACTTAAAGAGAAGCCCGAAATCTCCAGAAAGCACAAAATCGTTCAGCTCCGGAGAAACAATGGGTCCCGATTCAAAGCCTTCTAGTCTGACGGTGAGTCCGAGAACCCCAGTTAGATCGGATTCTCGTGACTTCACAATTGACAAATCGGCTTGCTCGTCCATTAGCTCGGATTCTAAAACTCTCGTTCTGCATTCTGTTGGCTCGGATATTCCACTCGACGATTCGAGGCTGACTACGACGACGAAGAAAACGTCATACGAGAAATCGAGTTCGTCAACCCCAATCAGCACGGATTCTCTAAAAAACAAGTCCGAAATGAGCCCAAAATTGATGATAAGCAGTTCCAGCGATTCGTGCAGCCCGTGCAAAGCTAAGTCTTCCGAGAGGTCATTCAGTTCCGACCTGCAGTCGCCCGTAAGTGCCAACTCCATAAGATATACTTCGAATTATGGAAAACGAGGCCAAGACAACGTGTCGGATTCGCCAATCGACCTGAGTACCGCGACTTCGCCGTTCTATCCTATTGCGAATCCCAATCAAAAAACACCTTCGCCGTACGGCGCAGGCAAACGAAGGTGCAGTATAGACAGCTCTGAAACTTCGCCCGACCCGAAATCGATCAGCTCGAAGGATTCAACTAAATTTTCGGGGTATCAAGCTAAACTAGACCCCTCAACTAAGCCAATCGAAAGTAAGGAAAGCGAGAGAATTCCCGACAGTAGCGATCTGTTTGTGAAGCCGCAATTCGCATTGAATGCAGAACTGAATGCGAGTTACATGCAGAAGAGCAAAGCTGATTTGAGCTCTTACGAATCGATCGGTGGCGAATCCTATGGGAAGTGCGGGGATTTCATTGATGACAATGCAGACGATCCGCTCTCTGAAAAGGACGTGGTGCCTCAATTACCGCACGAGAAGCTTGACAAGCACTATCTGAATTACAATTACAGACGTAGGGACCGATCGAGATTGACCGAGAGAAGCTCCAGCAGTCTGGAGAGAAGATGCACCGATTTAAAATCCTCGGCTTCGATAGATGAATTCAATACGACTATGGCGAAGAAGAGATCCAGCGATATTTTAGAGGATATGAAACATTTAGAAGCAAAGGCTCTTAACGATGGCTTGCCCGATGCTAATTTGTTGACGAAGAAATCGAGCGATATTTGGGAAGACATGAAAAATTTAGAAGCAAGACGACAGGATACTTTTAGCAATTCGGCGAGCGGCTTCTCAAAGCGGCGATTAGAAATTCCAGATATAAACGTAACGAGCGAAGGTAGGAAATCTTACGTAGTATATCCTAAAATCAACATCGATGAAAACAGCGATAGTATATTAAAGAGCATAGCTTGTAATAAAAATAATAATGATATAGATGACGGCAGAGAATCGAAGGTAGGTGTATGGACGAAGGTAAAACCGCGGAAGAAAGGTGATAACGGACGCAGAAGTAGTGATAGAGCCTTAAAAATTATTCAAGAAAATTCAGCCATATTGCATAAGATTTTAGCTTGCCAAGCAAAGAAACGTCTACCTGATCTAGAGGAGATATCGAAGGAAATAACCATCAGTCCGATAAACGAGGAAATTTCTAAAATATTCAGTCCGATTCTCGAAAAAATGGGTTTAAATGAGCACGAGATAAACGAGGAATTGGCTCGAATAAATTTTAAGGACTTCGATAATATGAGTGCTACTAGCGTATCGGAATTTGATGCAAAAATTAACGAAGAATTATCGAAACTGTCTCTCATCGACGAAACGGAACAAATAGATCATTTAGATGTAGACGAGATCATATCGCACGACTATCTGAATACTCGAGAAGCGCTCATAGACCATAAGATAAACGAGGAACTCTCTAAACTGTTGGCAAATTACGAGGAAGAATCGCCACCGAATATAATTAATTTAGAGAAAGGATCGTCAAGCCAGAATGTAAGCGAAACGGAGGGTCTCGATCTTACCAGCATTTCGACGAATGTATTTTCCTATAAATCCTCTAATGATTCCATCGAGATCAGAAATGACTTGGAACCCACTCACGATGCCGCATCAAATCAACCTGAAAAGTTTCCATTTGCTACGTTAAAATACGAGCAGAGCTTGTCACCCAAGAGCGACATAGATATCTACAGAGAACTGGAGAAGCTCGACAAAATCTCGTCTGTGCAAGTGTTATCAGATACGCGTCTAGAAATACCGCCGAAACGATTGTCCCCCATTACTTACATTTCCGACACTTCCACTTATCCGGAAATACCATCCACAACAAGGTATGCAACGAAAACCAATCCGTTCGACACTACGCCGTTGAAGAATACTTATGAATCTTATAAGAGTTATGACTTCCCGGATAGATTATCGCCTCGGAACAATCCTTACACAGCGTATGATAAATCAGGTGACCTCACGTTCGAGTACACGGATCCCAAATCAAGAATCTCTATCGATTCCTATGACCTGCATTTGAAAAAAAGCCCGATATTGTCGAAAGAATCCTTGGAGTTTCGTGTGAGATACGATGAGGAATCGTCAAGACCGACTGTCGGCGAATGCGCCGTTCAGGAAAGTAAATTGGCAGTTTCCTTAAACGTAGATTCTTACTACGGCAAGGATAACAACGAAGCAATTTCACCGACAAAGTATTTCAGCAAGGAAGAAAAATGCTTAGACATCGGAGACTATTGTAGCGATGCGGATCTTCTACGTCATAAGTATAGTGCTTTGTCACCAAAGGAATATTCTCACGTCAGAAGTATAGATTACGACAAGCCCTTGAGCACGTTATCGCACGTGATGGTGGAATCCGAGTCGGATGTCGGCTCGTACCTATCGACAAGACATCGCGACTATAACATGCTGTCACCTAATCGTCAATATAGAGATGAATATTCTCTCTCTTCTAGCCCAAATCATTACACTCCGAAACTCTCTCCAAATCTGACAGAAGAAACGAGAAGGTCTGAGTCACACCCAGAATCTTCAAGTAAAATAAGCGTCAGCAAATATGAAGATTTGACGAATAAAGGATCAAATTGTTACAAGAAATCAACACTGAGGCTCGGTAATATGGATGACGCAAATAAAAATGACGAAGACATTGACACTCCGAGTCCGAAGACATACTTTAGTCCTTTCCCTGTTAGAAATAATACTAGAAAACCCAAAGAACTGACGTTGAAGTTAGGTTTGTATTCGCCGAAAAGTTCCGATTTCAGTCAAATGAAGAAATCATAGTGCTCAGCAAATTATAAAAGCGATAGAGCCTTGGACCTATACAAAAGTTTGCACGTGAGCTCTATTACCGAAAGGAATATCTATGTTCGCTAATCAATCGTTTCGACAGATTCTTACACTTTACACGACTTACAGACTTTACACGCGTTACAGACAACAAAGCGTTTCAAAGAATTTCATATTATCGATTTTCCGAATTTAACAAAGTGGGCCTAAATTGTCGCCTAAACATTCTTAAATTGTTATTCTTGACATTATAGATAAATTATACAATGTAAGTTTAATCAATAGTAATAAACGTGGACGTAGCTTTAAGATGATAATTAAATGAAATAAAGTCGTGTAAGTTTTTCAATGCTCGGCCAGGTGATTGTAAACTATGAGTACACTCCTTTCTTCAAATTGTATATAAATTTGTTTCGATGGATCGAACGAAATAACATGTATAAAAATGAATATACAGGCCGCGTTATATCGTAATCATGATAAGCGCGAAATAATATCTCCATGAACGCAATTAAATTTGGGAATATTGCTGAAATAATACGTCGTGCGTTATTGACGCGATTACGAAATAGCAAATCCGGGCAAAGCAGATTAATGTTAAATCCCCCCATATTCAGCCGCACGTTTCTCGCTTCCTGTCCTTTATTCCATCATTAAAAGATAATGCGCACTTCACAGTTATTCGAATATTCGCATTTATTCATTGTCGTTTAAAAACAACGTTGGAGAAATATTATAGCACTTGAAACGTTCATATACTGCAATTGCTAAAATTATAATGAAATGCCTTCGATTCCCTCCAATTTTGAACTATGCCAAAATTTCCTACAAGACGGTTTCCAAACTGGTCACTGTATTCAATTTAGATTAATAAGAGAATTTTACAAAATGTTCTTCTCGCATCTTTTTGATTATGCCACTTTTATTGCGAAATGTTTGAGACAAACACGTGCCCGCGGTACAACAATGTCCTTTTGAACAAGAAAGAGATATCAATAAGGTCCTTTTGAACAAAAAAGCGATATCGATATGAAACACGATGTTAATTTATAAATTGTCAAAATAAAATTTGATTCGCTCGTATATTTGGGAAATTTAATCGTATAAATCTGTAGTTGTAAACGCGAATTATGCACTACAAATTAGACATAAATGAGATGAAGATTGTATATAATTTCAACTATTGACTGTATGTTATAAATAACTTCAAAATCCTGCAGAATCTTTTTATATAAAATAAAAGTAGTATTTTTAGATATTTCTAATAAGAAATATTCATACTATTGCAGTATTAAAAATCGTTTGCTCGAACGACTGCAACCTAAGCGCGAGTAGATAAGAACATATTGTTACAAATTTAAATCCTTGCTCACAAATGGCTTCAATTCGATACATAAACGAAGTATATCGCGTCGAAGAGATTCACAATTTTCTGTTTTATCACAACGATTTGAATGTATCAAGATATTTAATAGCTCGATTTATAGCCTATTTGCTGATAAGAAAAATATTTCTGTAACTTATAATATACAGAAATATCATTGTAATTCATCCTTCGCACAATTTTTGCATTAACGCACTAGAAATCCAATGCGCGCATCTTATAAAATTAGCCTATTAAAATATTTCCCCAATCATCTGTGATAGTATAGAAAACGATAACATGATCTTAGCATGAAAGATTATATTGTAACTCAATTATTATAATTTTTTATTAGCTGTAATTTTATAATATTTAATAAGTCTAATTTCGAGATATAATTTTAAGATATAATTCAATAGAAAATTTGTTTAATATACGGTCTTTTCTATATATTACGTTAACATAATTTAATGCTTCAAATTAATTAAACTCATCATTAATGACAATCATTTATTGCATATTTACATACATATAATGCACATATAATGTACACACATGCGCGCGTACTATATATGCATTATTTATTCTTATATTAATATTATCTAAGAAATCACATATATGTAATCGTTAAATTTATAATTTACTTATTATCAATTTCTTAGAGATAGTAATCTCCTATATATTTTTTAATTGCTATTTTCTTTTATTCATCCATTTTATTCAACAAAACTTGTCAATTGCGAAATAGAAAACTATTAATTAAGAAAAAAATGTAAAAAGTTATTGATAAAATAGCTTATTATAAAATTGTGAAAAAAATTTTTTATGCAACGTTATTCCATTTTTCATACATTAATATTTTATTTAATTTACCAAGAATTATATAAAATACTTTGGCAGAATATCATTCTAGTATTCGTTATATTTCTCTCTCAAAGAGTATATTATATACTTGAATTTATGTGAATGTATGGAAGATATAGTATTAATTTCATTTCAATTATCATGTTGTACGATTGGATCAGGAAATCCGAAAGTAGTTTCAGATGCCTGTGAAATATAGAAAGTATTTGCAAAAGTGCTGAAAAGGGCAACGGCGCGTTTAAATACAAAGATATTTTAAATAAGGGGATAAATGATAACGATTAAATTAGTGGATTTAATTAGTAAATCCTCATCATTAATATACAGTTGCTAACACATTATGAGTTGTTACAGTATCACATTTCGCACTTTTCATCTTGCATAAAAATTAGGTTCACTTTGTTAAACATTTACCTGAGGATAAAACTGCTCGACAATATATACATTTAATTCAGTTCATAATGTTATTTAAGCTTCTTGATATAAAATCGATACTTTTCGATACTTACTGGAACATACGTTGCAATATACATATATAAATGAATAGTCTTTTTCTACTGTGTATGGATCAAGATATGGAGATTGATTGGAACTTGTGGTAGATGAATACGCATTGCCTTGATGAAGGTACCGCGTACTACATTAATAAAACGTAAATCCTATGTAACGTCTTGTTTAGAAGAAAAGGAAGGAATATATTTAAGATTTAAGGAGCGTGTGAAATTGTTACGTAATATTTTGAGAAAATTATTGTATATACGTGACAATGCGAGTCATGCCAGATATAAGACTGTATATTTGAAATGCATAGAATGATAAGTCGTTATGGATAAAGAAACTGAATAAATATATTGAAAAAACGAGTAATCTATTAATCCACTCAATACAAATCTCTGATTTCCGATTAAAAACAATTGATTTTTATAAAGAGCAATGGAAAATCTACAAATTTGACTAATTAATACTTTTTCAATAATAACTAAATATCTGTATTTATATTAATAATATTTTTAGTATTTTATTGTCTCCGTTATTTTAATATTTTATTTACATTTAGTTATTTGTATTAAATTATTATTTCATGCGCACAAAAACAAAATATTTCAACATTAACATTTTCATCTTGCTGATAATTCTACAGTAATAATTTTTCATATCTATTTTTTTTTTTTTTAGCTTATTATATTAATTTTATGCGTTTTTATCTCGGCGTGCAACGTCAAATGGACGCGCTATCAAAAAAATCAATTGCTTGCACAACCCGAAACGATCACGCCTCGATAAACGCGATAATATAACGTGATATATTTCACATTTATAGGAAAAAAAATATTTACTCGCAGACTCATGCTAGAGGGATGATTACCATTCGCAAAACTGCTCCGTTCTCTCCGCGACGGTTGCGCACTCGTGCCCGAGTGGACATTTCATTTCACTAACATGATTACACGCACTCGTGCGTCGAGGATTGCGGATTCATTTTAATTGGGATTACATTTCAATTAAAACCTCGTCCCCATTAGAGAGAGAAAACCGCGTCGAATTTCAGAGGAGGGAAGGGGGAGAGGGGAGGGGAGGGGAGAGGAGGGGGCCGAG